AAACAAACAGGCAAGGGTCACCTCTGCCATTTCTCCCACCCTACCAGCTTCAGCCAGGCAGGGCATTGGAAACTGAGAAATCCTCGAGTTTGGAGAGGTGCTTTTGATCAGCTGCTTCCCAGCCTATTGTTGAGAATGGGAGGAGATAGAAATGTTATTGTTTCAGGAACTCTAAGATAGGTAAAGGTGAGAAGAGAAAGTCAATACTTGGTCTGCCCTTCCTTCCAGTGATGGGAGTTAGTGTGCAGCCACGAGACAATCATGCTTAAGCAAGGCTGCCCTCTGAAGACCAAGCAAAGAGGAAGCACCGCTTTGGACTCTTGCTAGCATTACCAGCCAATGACATTTGAGCACTGAAGGACCAGCGATGGCGTCAGCCTTATATGCTTTCTCTGAAGGGGGGGGGGGTGTTGCTACTTTCCCTCCGTCCATTTCCCCATCACTAGCAGCCTTCCTCATGTGACAAATCCCATCATAAGATCCAGTTCTCAGCTCTCCAGAGTCCAGTCCTTGGGCCAGATTTGCCTAGCCTGATGTAAAATACATTTGGAGGGACCCAGGGTGGGAAGGGAACCCTCAGTCCCGCTGCACCTGAGAGGCAGGGCCTGTGACTGATCACCAAATGTTCATGCCACAAAGCACGCATTCTTACAGTCGACATCGGATTCCTACATTGCTCCAGTCCCCAAATCCTGCTCCTCGTCATCTCACCCATGCAACTTTGGTGTCAGGTCCTTGCTAAACAGGGCGAGAGCCTCTTTCCCCCCAGCATGGAAAGGTTGGCTCCCCCTTGCCTTGTCTTTTTGGGATAGGCTGCTAAATGCTGACCAGGAGGCACTGGCTTGGGTGTGTTTCTTGGTGTGGGTGTCTTAGATCAATTCTGATTAATATAGCAGCTCCCCCAACTGGCAGCTTTAGGAAACACAACAGAAAGGCGAACGAGTGGCATTTTGGGATGCTGCAGTGATGGCCACCAGCCTGGGAGCCCAGCATTAAACTCCTTTGGGTCTAGCACATCTGGGCAGGCCTTCTGCAAGAGCCCCCAGCAAGGGGAGTGAGGGGGGCAGCTGCTCGGAAGAGGGCATGCTGTTACGGCATCCTAGCTGTGCAATGAACTCCCAAGAGATGCTTGCCTGGCACCTCTGTTTTGGTCTTTCAGGCAGCAGGTGAAGACCTGCTTATTTTCCCAGGCACTTGAATCTTTCCATTTCTAATCCCATTACTGAATCTGATCTTTGCACTGCAACTCGCTTTTCTTTTGGTTTGATTTTCCATCTTAGTTTTATACTGTCATTTTAAACGTTTATATGTTGTGTTTTATGGTTTAAATTGCTGTGAACCACCCAGAAAGCCTTGGCTATTGGGTGGTGTAGAAATTTAATAAATAACAGTGTAACCCTGTAGACCGCCTTTGCTGATCAGGAGCCCCTTTCAATGTTCTAAAATTGATTGTAAAACTTGGGAAAATTACCATTTATGAGTTCCTATGTTCTTAAATTCTATTCCTTATAAACCAACTTCTTGCAAGAAAAGTGAATGTGTCCCATCCATGCTATGGTGAGGGAATAGCTATTTGCAGTATGATATCAATGGTGTAGGGACTGCAGGTGCCGCAGTGGTTTAAACCGCTGTGCTGCTGGGCTGGTTGATCGAAAGGTCGCCGGTTCGAATCTGCACAACGGAGTGAGTTCCCGTTGCCCCGTCCCAGCTCCTGCCAGCCTTGCAGTTCGAAAGCATGCAAATGCAGGTAGATAAAAAGGAACCACTTTGGTGGGCAGGTAACAGCGTTCCGTGCACTTCGGCATTTAGTCCTGCTGGCCACACGACCATGGAGACTGTCTGCGGACAAATGCTGGCTCCCTCGGCCAGGAAACGGAGATGAGCACCGCCCCCGAGAGTCAGGCATGACTGGACTTCACGTCAAGGGGAAACCTTTACCCTTATCAATGGTGTAGAGATTGGGGTAGAGGGGCACACATTCCACGTGGTAGGTCCCTCACCTAGTCGCTAGCATTTGCAGGTAGATCTGGGAAAGATGCATGTCTGAAAACCCAAAGAAACTGCCAGCTACAGAAGACCAGGTTTGATGCAGGTCTCTCTCAGTGCAAAGCAGCCTCTTATATAGACACCACAGGGGCTTTTCTGGAGGTGGGGCAAACCTGCAGTGCACAACAGTTTGTGTTTGTAACTTGGGAGCACAGAATGTGGTGTTACAACACACCAGTGCACTTTGTTTTTGTTTGTGCTTTGTTGCTTAGTGTCACATTCCATGACAGCGAGAAGCCCAGTAGAAGGTCCTGGGAACAGAACGAATGCAGAGGGTCGCTCCATTCAGGTAGCATAATGAATCCCAACAAAGTTTATTTGGAGAGAGAGAGAGAGAGAAAACACACACACACACACACACACACCCCTAGGAAGAAGACAAAAACTGCTAATGCACAAACACATCACAATGGTCTTAAGAATATAACATCAGACATCTGAGAGCTTTACTGCCTTTGTGACATCAAACACTTCACCCGGCTCACCTGGAATGATTTTGTTTATCCTGAAATCATCAGGGACTCTCTCCAGAGCAACCTCCCACAATCCAGCACCCTCCAGAAGCTTTGGATGGCAACCATTGACCCTGCTTGGCTGAAGCTGAAATCCAGATCCAAAATACTTGACAGGCACCTGGCTGGAGAAGCGACGACTCACATCAGAGGCTAGGTGGGGTACCTTTTGCCATGACAGAGATGTGGGAAGCCTCACCTGATCACGGTCTTGCACAGGCAAAGCTGGCGAGCATCGCCGCATCTTGTGGCAGGAGGTCCCATAGCTGCTATCCCTGTGGCTCTCCGGAATGTCCCACTCTTCAGTTTTATTGAAAGATCTATGGAGTGGGAATCTCCTCCTACGCAAAAGAGGGGCTTCCACCTGCTCAATGCATGACAGAGTGTTACACCACTCTGTCATGTTCCCCCTGCTTTTTCTAAAGGTAATTAGACCTCAATGTCAACTCTCTCAAGCCTCTGGATACACGGCCCAAGTCTTCGGCTTGGATTGTGTCACTATGTCTGCATGAGGATCCAAATTGCATGTTCTGCACCCTGGGTATAGAACCTTGCACTGGTGGTGGCAGAAAACCAGTTACAGAGACTTTATAATCAAGTCTTGCATGATGTGGCAGATATGGCAATATATCTGAAGGAGTGTCTCCTTCCCTATGTGCCTGTCCGCCCCTTAAGATCTGGGTTGGAGGTCCTTCTCTGGGAGCCCTCCATGAAGGAGATTAGGAGGGTGGCTCCCTGGAGAAGGGCCTTCTCTTTGGTGGCACCCCGGTTGTGGAACAAGCTCCCCTGGTGCCAACACTTTATTCTTTTTGGTACTGGGCCAAAACCTTGTTCTTTTTCCGGTATTTTAAGGTTTAGATTGAAATTTTAGGGGGGTTTTGATTGTATAGAATGAATGCTGTGCTTCGTTTTGTTTTATTGTAAGACCATCCTGAGACCATTTGGTAGTGGACGGTATACAAAAGTTTTATATACATATAGTTTAATAGTAATCGTTCACCATCCTCTTTCTTGTACCAATTCTTGTTTATATATTAAAAGCAGAAATATTACATGTATCAAATGTAAAATGATCACACATTTAAAAAAATATTCCAGACAAAGTCATATTATTTGCCCTTAACAAACCACAACCAACTCCCCTCCTCACAAACGAACCCTAAATCAAGTGCAAATTATCAGTCTGGAATTAGTAGTGGAGAAAGTCAGGCACTTCATTTGTCAGACCTTAGGTTAAGGCAACGGTGGAGACTGCAATCCAAGTTGCCAGTATTTAAAGCAAAATGGTGGCTCATAACTGAGACACAGTCTGAGAGTCACACTGAGTCTTCCTTGATGATCGAGCACTCATATAAATGAGCCCCTGGCCAATCAGTTAAGGGCAGAGTGCAGCCAGTGAGCGCTCAGTGGGTGCGACACGTCCTGCCACGGCTTGGTCCTGAGGACAGTAAAGCAGACGGGGGCAACTGTGGTGGGATGGGAGCCTGCATCCTGCTGCCCTGGACAACCCGGATTCAGGCTGGACATCAGGAAGCGCTGCCTCACTGTCAGAGCAACACGACGGTGGGACCAGCTGCCCAGAGAGGTGGGGGGCTCTCCCACACCGGAGACATTCAAGAAGGAACTGCACAGCCATCCGAGTGGGATGGTGCCACGTGGGGTCGTGCCACAGCAGTGGGGTGGACCCGGTGGCCTTCATGGCCCCTTCCAGTTCTACTATTCTATGATTCTAAGTGGCCGTGGGGCCAAATGCTGAGAACCAAGGTTGAGGTGGTGAGGATGGCGGCTGTGGTGAAAACAGGGAACCCAACAGGTCTGTGAAACAAACAACGAAACTCATCAGGGCCATAGTGGCGCGTCCCACGCCTGCTCTGAGGAATAAGAGAAGGAGAGAAAGAGACCCATTCTGCTCACTCATTGCTGCCGTCTGGTGAAGAGTTATCTTCTAGAGGAGCTGCCCTGTTCCTTTAACTCTTCCGAAGTTGGACTGTGGGCTGGGGAGAAAACACAGTCTTGGCTTTCAGCACAGACCACCGATGCAAAAAATCCTTCACAAGGTCAAAAGAACAATTTTTCATATTTCCAAATATCCTCTCTTTTAGCCAGTGCCCCAACAGGAATGTTGCAGAAGAAAGCATGAGCAAGCCAATACTAGACGGGAAAATACGGGCATCTCCATTCTTTCCTGTAAGGCAGCTAAGGGGCTGCAACAAAGATGCGTATCCCTTGCGTATCTCAGTGCCTCTCTGGGCAATACCAGGCAACAGCCCTAAATGGAAACTGGTCTCTCTGTCATCTCCATACCTGTATATAAAGTACAGGAAGGTCTTCTCACAGGCTGCCCATTTTTGCCTGTCCCCAAATCTCATAGTGTCCCACAAACACAATAAAAGGAAACAAAGGGTCCAGTTGCTAAATTACCGTTGAATTAAGAAGATGCTAGGCTGCTCTGGTTTCCATGGAAACTGCTCAAGGGTTATGATTACCATGGCTCCCAAGAGCACTCCTTTGGGGGAGCTCATTTGCCAGAGGGGTAGGGAACTCCAGTGCCTCTCAGGCTGGAACAGGCACTCTGGTTCTTGTGCAGGTATTGCTGGTGATAATCTTCAGCACAGTAGAACTCCTTGGCCTCCAGGATCTCTGTGGTTATTGGTCCCAGCTGCTTCTTAGACAATTCCTGCCAAGGGGTGACATTTTTAAAGAGAAAGGAAGAGGCGAGTTAATATTTCTAGCAGAAGAGCAAAAGCAAGATGCAAACTCTGCAATATAAACTCTCCTCAGGCTCTTTATCTGAACAGCAGTTTGTCTCTAGCCATCCTCCCCCGTTCGAGGCATCCAGCTGTCGTTGGAAATATGGTACTGGGGGACGGGACTTCAACATCCCAGGCATCGTGGCCCTCATGGTTGGGAGGGTAGGCCTGGAAACAGGCGGGCAGTGAGCAAGGAGGGGGTCTGAGAAGGATGCACCGTGCTCAGGAAGCGAAGCATAATTCCACCCCTCCTCCCTGCCCCACTTTTACATCTATTCCATTTGCATTTGCCCACACACAAATTTGTGTGTCTTTTCCTGCATACTGTTGTGTGCACTTTAAAAAAACGTGCACGGTTTGTTAAAAACACATTTTTTGCACATTTAAAGCAATTTTAAAACAATGTAGGCATTTTGTATGTATTGTACGAGTAGAAATACACATATTTTGTGCATTTTTAGCATACACATTTTAGCATACAATGTAAAAACATCATTTCTGTTTGCATTTTTGAATGCTTGCATGCACTTTTAAAAACACATTTTGCAAGCAACTTGCTAATAAAGGTTTTGAAATCTACATGTTTTTGAAATACATTCCATCTGGGTGATTTCTTCTAAAATATATGCATGGGGATTCTTTCTTTTACTTGGGGAAAACTGCACTGTGAACCAACAATGTACAGATTTCAATGCCAAAATGCAGTGCAAATTCAGCATCGCTGTAGCTGTTGCGTTAACCCACCCTTATTTATACCTTGCTTGTGGACCAGCCAGGGCTCCTTGACCAGCCCTGGTGGGAAGCAGAATTCAAGGCAGCCTGACCTTTGCTCTGATCCTCCAGGGCTGTCCTTGCATTGTATACCACCCGACATGTCTTGCTGCCCTATGCAACAATAACGGAAGATGCCGCCTTATGCTGAAGCAGGCCATTGGGTCATCTGGCCCAGCTTTGTCCACAGTGGCAGACAGTGGCAGACTCTCCAGGATTGTAGGCAGTGTTTTTCCAGCCCTATCTGCAGATGCCGGGACTGGGCGACTTCTGCAGCAAAGCCCAGGCTCTTTCCCGGGGCTATGACTGTGCAGCAAGGAAGGGGGTGCACGGTCATTGGAAAGCTGGCAAATGCATGTAATGCAGGCATTACAGAGTGGTGGAGATTCCCATTCCTGAACATCAAGTCCATTCAGGAGCAGGGAAAAGCTCTCAAGGTCTTGCCCCACTTTCTGCCTGGGATGCACACAAGCATCTGGCTTCAGTGGAGGCCAACTTTGAGGAAAAAGCAAGAGCAAAGAAGCCGTCCAGAGACTTTTAGCAATGGGACGGCATATAAAAACTTTAAATAAATAATAAAAAATAAGAGACCCCCCCTAAACCAAGGTTGCTGTTTCCCATATTTCTTCAGGCTCAAAGCCACCTAATAGGACCACACTGAGAAGGGCTGCTGTGCCCTAAAATGGCCACATGGGGGCCACCAAGAGCCCCCCCTCCATCCTGCCGCCTTCCCTCTGCAGTTCTTCATCTGGCTGTTACTGAACCCCACTGGGCAGCCCATATGATCTTCTGCGCTCCCGAGGAGCAGATGTAGAAGCAAAGGAATGGGAGGAGTAGCTCTGTGCGAAAGGAGGTCGTCTTGCTGCTCAGATGGTCCTGGGTTCCAAATCCGCCCTGCCCGGAACTCCAATGCCACGGGGTGGTCACAGATTCCCTTTATCCTATTGCCATTCAGACTACATTCCAGGCTCGCGATGCTTCCAGATGAGGCTTTGGTTGTACAAACACCCAGCCTTGTTCATGGGATGTTATGGTGGGCCCAGGCCACACTGTTTTCTACTTGTAGTTCTCCTGGGCTTGCTCTCTGATTCTTTGTTTAGTTGATAACCATAAAAATCTGATGAGGAGGAAAACAGGAGAGCTGCAGAGTCCCTTTTGACTGGCAGCACTAGGAGCTGTTCATTCGGAGGCACCCTTGATCCAGAAGACTTACTACAGGAGTTTCATGACTGATCTCTTGAGGTTTCTCACTGCACTCCTGCCCATGTCTCCTCAAAAGTAGCTTCCACTGAGTTCAACAGGCTGTAATCCTAGGTTAGTGACCATGAGCTGGCAGACTTGGTTGCATTGTCATCAGGAGATGCAGAAGGTGGGGGCCTTCTCAGTGGTGGCCCCCAACTATGGAATGAGCTCCCCACGGAGGCCCACATGGTACCAGCACTGTTATTGTCTAAGTGCAGGGCTAAGCTTGCCCTCTACCGGGCATTTAATGGTGTTTGTAATGGCACATGATGGAACATTTATATCAGTTGTCTTTTTAACATGCCCAGTTATTTGTAAGGAAACAAACACATGACCTTCTTGGCCCCTTCCACCTCTACTACTCCAGGATTCTATGAAACCTTTTCCAGCTGTTTACATTCTTTTACATTTGGTGTACTGAATTTTTGTTGTCTTATTTTATGATTTGCTGCTTGCAGTTCTATGAGTGGTTGAGAATTGTCTGGAGAGTTTTATTGATAAGGCAGTGAAGGAATAAGGTACTACTAATAATTGCTCCCAATAGCATCTGAGAGGAGAGAAGTCTCTCCTGAGTCTAAGCCCTGAGGACCTCCGACCTCGGTCTTCTGAGTCCACAGGCTGAGCTCCCTTGCTTCCCTCTTGCAGGCAGCAAAGCCAGACGCATGCAGCCCACACGGTCTCAGCTGGGCTGTGGAGGGTGAAGGGAAGCACGGCAAGGGATGGGGAAGCAAGCAGCCTGGACCAAAGCCCTCCGCTGGTTTCCAGAGGTGGTCCTTTCTTTCTCCCTCCCCCTGGGCGGCCATCTACAGAAAATGCCCAGCGCAAGGAGCACGGGAGCCGGCCACCTTGCTCCGTGACAGGAGGAACAGACACCTCCAAGTTCAGAAGTGCCACTCTGTCACTCTGACCCGGGGTGGTAGGATTGTGCCGCTGGTGTGTGCTCTCATCCATTCTTCTATTTGTTTTATTATGCATGTTGCCCCGGGAGCTTCAGCTACTGGGTGACTCATACGTCAAATGAATAAATAATAATTAGTAAATAAATTAGTTATTGCGGCAGCGGGGATTTCGCCCTTTCTCTTGCTCAGTTCCTCTTCCTAAATCATTCTCCCTGAGCTGGAAATAGACCCCAGTGTGGGGACGGGCACTCACAAAGCACGCTTTTCCCAGAAGGCAAAACGGGGAGACTCGGAGAAAGGCAGAACCTAAGTATGAGGGAGATATGGGGGGCTGGAACCCCACACCACAATACCACTCTGTTGAATCCAGTTTTCTGCTCTGACACGCCTCTCACACCAGGCAGACCCATGAGGCTCAGAGACAAGAAGGCAGCACACGGCAGAGGCGAGCTTTGGGCTTCAAGACAAAGCCGCACTTTGGGATCCAAGTAAAGAACGAGCAGGCAGACATGTGCAGACGCGGCTTCCCCTGGAGATCTGCGCCCGGTGGGTTGCAAGCAGCAAAAAGGGTCTGGCGGTTGGTTGACTGGAGGGTGGGATTCAACCCGGGAGAAATGTGGGGACAGAGGAACTAAAGCGATGGCGCTCTTAAGCCGTCCCTTTAGCTGCAGCTGGGGAGGCTGCCCCCTTTGAAAGGCGTCTCTGCCCACTCTGGAGGCCTCCCAGCCCAAGGAAACATGCTTGCACACCTTCTGGTGCGATGGAGAGTGTGCGGAGAGGCGGAATCTGCAAGAGAAGGCAGGCGGCTCTCCAGGGCTCAGAGCAACGGGGCTTATCATGGGCAGGGTTAATTCACATGCAGCACAGGCGCCGCATGCAAGGCAAGAGAGCCGATAAGACAACACAGTTAATTAACTGGAACCCAGCTGGGCCTGGCGCTGGCAGAGAATCCGTGGCAGCAAAAGAGCAGCGGCAGTCGGATTCCAGCGAGCGAGCGAGAGCAAGAGGGGGCATGGCATGCGGGCTTGCGATAGAGTGAATGCAGAGGGGTGAGCGAGCGTGGCAGCTTTCCTTTCCTTTCAGATTTTCCCCATTGGTTTAGAACAGCCTGGCCTAGCCCAGTGCCCTCCAGATGCGTTGGACTGCAATTCCCACCATTCCTGGCCAGTATGACCCATGATCCTGGATGCATGCACGCACGCATGCAAGTGAAGACGCGTATAAGGTGGTGGGAGGAGTCCCCCAGGGGAGGGCACTTTGCAGAGGTCCCTTCAAGTCTTGGATGCCAGGCTGGGGAAGCCTGGCTGAGGGTGCTAGGACTAACTGGGCACAGGCCAACGCCACCTCTTTGGCCTGCAACCCTCCAGCCCTAAGAACAGGGGACATTCCCAAAACTGACCTCACTTCTCAGCCATCATGACAGCAACACTGCTTGGGTCAGTGGGAGAGTTCTTCAGGAGGTTAGAGGTCTCCTTGGTTATGGCCTTTAGACCCCGCAGATCGGTATCGTTCTGCCAATCTGTTTTGTTACAGGTTGAAACTGCCCTTGAATTTAGATCGTTTCCCCATGTCCTGCCTCCATAGCTTTGTCCAGAATTCATCTATTGGTTTTATCAGATACTGCCATGAACGCTCATTAAGTAGAAGGGTGGTTTGGAAATGGTTTAAGTAAATAGGAAGTAAAAACTCCCCTCCCATCTTCCTGGACCTGTTCAAGACATAAAGCCTGATTTCAGAAATTCAGACTAGCAGCCAAGCTCCTGCCTTCTTGCGTTTCCTTGGTTTTTCTTTCGCTATTTGCATTCCAAGGTAGTTGATTTGGATGCTCTGCAACTTGGAATTCTGACCACCGGGGGAACAGGGGCAGAGTGGCGTGAGCAAAACCCGGAAGAGGCTGCCTGAGTTGTTTGTCTGGATGGCGTTCAGTAAACATCTGTTTGGTAGCCAAGCATTTCAATTCGGATTTACTTCCAAGTTCACAGATTTTGGAGTGCCAATTTGGCAGAGTTCTGTCCTGTAGTTGAACATAAAGCACCACATTTGGAAAGTACAGTTTTGTCCCAGTTCTTCTTTCAATCTGATCCTCTGAACAAGGAAGGGAAGGTCTTCCAACCGGAAAAGACAACGCCACTGAACTACTGAGACAAGAGGACCTGGACAGCAAGGAGGCATGGCCTCCCCTGAAGCTCTTAATAAATGCTAAGATATTTCTTCTGTCGCTTGCAGGCCTTGGATGAGCTAAGCTCCAGGGGCCCCTCCAAGGAGCAGGGAGCAAGCGCCTGGTATTTAGGCTCCGCGGAGGAGCAGAATATATAAATAACATATTGTTCCTAGAGGCAGCACACTGTCCCTCTGCCCTCTGGGACCAGGGCTTCTGAATATTTTTCTCCTTGGTGGGGAATATCTTAGCATGTCTAATGGACTGTTGGAAACAAGCCCACCCATAGGTCACCTGGGATCCCCAAGACGGATTCTGATCTCAGCTATGCTGCCACATGGCCAAAACACCCTACGGACCGGCGAAAACAGGAGATACGTATTCTGCTACGAGCGGCAGAGTTGCTGGCTCATGAATGGCTGGGACAGCTACTTGCAGCTCCTCAGTATGGAGGAGCTGCTACAGATGCTTGGCCCGGCGGTCTGAAGTCCTGGTGCAGTTCCAGGTGCAACACTGGCTGGCAGGTAACAGAGTGTCTTTGACAAACGGACCCTGCAGTTCATCAGGAAAAGAAACCACATGAGAGGAACTGCCTAGGAAGTCACTTAGTATGGGGAATGGACAGGGCCAAAATATAGAGTATATTTCTCAGGATACCAGATTTTGGGACAGTTACCATAATCCCATGCTTCGCTTTGCTTTTTTGCTTTGCTTTCTTGCTTTCCTGCCTGCCTGCCTGCCTTTTGCATCAAAAGGAATACACATCCCGTCTTATTCAACAACACTGCAAACCTGCGTGCTCACACGCATACCTGCACATACCACGTCCTCCCCCAGTCTCTGCAGAGTGTCAAACTAGATGACATGTTTGGTGCATGCGGTTCCTGTGTAACCTGTGTGAGGGCCACTTTTTGTGTGTGGGTGTGATCACTTATTTAGTGCTCGTGCAAAGGCATGCGTGTGAGCGTGCACGTGTGCAGCGCTGCGGAATAAGACGGAATGTAAGCAGAGCGCTGGGGCTGGGCCAAGGCTGGCATTCCTAGGCAGGTGGACTCCGGTCGGTCCCGGTGCCGCCTGGCCCTCCTCCCCCTCCTCTGTTGCCGCCCGTTTGCATGAACAGAGTAGGGGGATGGAGCAGGGCCCTTCGCTCGTCTGGCGCGCTCTCTCTCAGTGGTTCATAGACGGGGTGCAGGAGGAGAAGGCAAGGGAAGCAGGAGCAGGAAGGTCAAAGTGCTGCTTTCAACCAGCAACTGCAGATCACACGCACTTCGGTTAATGAGTGACAGGGCTAAGCTGGGCCTCTCCAACTCGTCCTTCCGTTCAAAGCGCAGGTTCCACCGCAGGGGCATCAAGGGACATGGGGCTGGGTGGGAGATGGCAGCCTCAGCCCAGGCCTGCTCTCAGTGCTCCCACAAGAAGGGGCAGGCTGCTTGGGGCCCCCCCGGCCGCCCTTGGGCACCGAGCGGCTTGGCTCAGCCACCCCCACGGTGTCCTCCCCAGACGCACGAGGTCGTCTGCCCGGCACGTGCCCATTTTAAGCCAGGCTGCCCTTAATTGTCCCTGTGAGGGCGGTGGGGGCAAACCGCTTACGGCAATGAATCATTCCGAAAGGGGGGGGGTGGAGAAATGCTGCACCTGTCGTTGCCAATGACCTTTGCTCCCTAGCTGCCAATTGCTGGGATGGTAAGTTGCCAAGGAAACCGACACATCCCCTCCCCTCCCCCCACCACAATCCCCTTTTTCCATCCCAAAGTACATGCATGGCCTTGAAGGAGCAATTATCTATATTCACCCTGCTTGCCTTTGTGATGGAGCGTGGCTTAAGGGGCAGGCCTGACTGGACCAGAGGGAACGGAATCAAAATGCAGCCTCCTTCAAGCCTCTCTCTGTCTCTTTCTCTGTCTCTCTGTTGCCAGTGCTTGTGATCTTCACACGCATGCGTTGTCGTGTTCATGCATGTGTCTGTGCATGTGCAAGCCCTCTTTCCCTGTGCACAGGTGCATCTGTCTTCCTCCATGGGGCCAAGGAGCCACGTCAGCGTCCCAGGTAAGGAAGACGTTTCACCATTCGGAGCGTGAAGCTGTGGCTTGTCTTGGGGCAGTTTTATTGAAGGGATTGCTAGACTGCCTTTCAACACAGCCTCTCCACAATGCTTTGCAAACTAAGCCTCCTATGACAACATTGTAAAGATGATTAAAAATGAAAGACTGCAAGCCAGGCCAACAGTGAAAGAAAACTGCTGAACTCCCATTTCCCAGAGCAGAAACGGCTTCTGCTTGCTCCACCAACAGAAAGATGGCAGAGATGGAGGGGATTCCAAGTTAAGAAGAGACGCAAAGCAAACATCCATCCAGACCTGTGCCCACTTTCTCACAAAAGCCACCCAAATGCTCCCAGGAGCCGCCAGCATGGAAGATAAAGGCAGTACTGCTCTGATCTTGTTGCTGTCAGTAATATACATTGCCTTGCATCACACCAATGATGTACACACCTTTCTCTAGCATGCACATTTAATGTAAATGATGTGTACACTTTCCCCCTGTGAACGCTTTTTGTGAATAAAGAATGCAACCACAAAATTTGGAAAAGCGGGAATTTTAGCATGCAAATCCATCCCAATTTGCTTATTGGCTTGGGAATGCCATTTGTTTAGAAAAATCTCTTGCTTTCCCTAGTTATAGAAACAACTACTAGCAATCAGGTTTGTTAATTTACACTGGACTCAGAAACAACTACGTAGCTTCAACAGTGGGGCATGCATGCTGAACAGCTTGTGTTCGGCCCTGCCTGAGATCTTGGAGAGTTGCTGCCAGTGTGGTTAGAATTTAGACCGGGACTTGGAAGATCTGGGTTCTAGTCCCCACTTCGCTATGAAGCTCTTTGGCCCAGTTACTGACTGTCGGTCCAGCTGACCACACGGGGCTGTTGGAAGGATCGGGTGGAGGAGGGAAGGACCAGGGATGTCACTTTGGATGCCTTGCAGGAAAAATGGTGGGAAATAAATAAACAAAATGTTGAAAAGGAAGAGTGAAATCAGGGGTGTGGCACTTCTCTCAGCGAAGGACCACATTCAGTCTTGGAGAAGCTATTGGGGACGTCTGAGGGGTGGCAGAGATCAAAGGCAAAGGAGCAAGGACAAATTCATTATTTGGCCTGCGCAACTGAAGTTCCGCACCCCTGAACTAACCGGACCGATGGCATGAGGAAGCATCACACGGACAGATCCTCCGCCCCTGCTCACAAGCCCACCTCTCTCCTGTACCTGTTGGTATTTTTCCTTTGATCTCAGAGCAGATTCCAGCTGTTCTGCGCCAATGGTGTAGATGACGGACCGATACTGTGTGCCAACGTCTTCATGTTGTTTCATGCCTTGGAAGAAATCGAGTCGCCGCAGCAGTGGTTATTATGGGAACAACGCTTCAGCATCAACACCCAGACCCACCTATGTTGATAACATCTGTTGAACCGGGTTGCTCAGTTCCCCCACCTGAATGCAAGAAGCTCCGGGAGCTTTCGCTTGCTGAGATTGTGACAGTCAAGCCCAGCATAAATGGCACAAAACTTCATGCCCACAAGACAGGAGAAGCCCTCACAGGGAGCCAGTTGGGCAGCTCCCCAGGTTGCACCCCACGTCCAGGTCATTTGAGCAAGAAACTCTCTGTTCTCCCTGTGTCAGTGTCTCATTGCAAAATCAGGGAACAGGTGACAGGAAAGTATTTGAGACTTTCTGCTGAGTCAGACCTGTGGACCATCATTGCTTAGTGTAAGAACAAGCAACAAAGCAATATTAGGTTTGTGGACCACACATTTAACTCTGCAGAAAGTAACTTTACCTCTCCATATAACTGTTTACCTCTCTGACCATGGATGGATTCCTCACAGCAGTATTTCCTGCACAGTGAGATGAGAGCCTGAGGACAGGACATCAAAGAAGTCACCCAAGGAAACAAGACCGTGCCAAAAGAGGCCGTTTTCCCACTGGCTCTTCATCCTTTGAGGGCTGCGCACCCACCATAACCTAGACATCTTTTAGATCACTATGGAAATCCAAAGCTTCTTTCCTGGACAAACTTCTCACTGCAGAAAACAGCACACCTCACTCTCGCAGGTCAAGTTGACAGTTCCTCAGTGTGAGCGAATGGTTTGAAGATGGTTTCTTGATGGCTGGATGAAAACCTCTCTCCTCTGTGGAATGGGCTACCCATCAGAGCTCGGAGGAGGTGCCACCCCTTCCAGGCAAATGCATAGGTAAGAAATTGGCAGTCCTTTTGAACTAGGAGCTTCTGCCCACAAACTGTGCCCTGTGCTACGGTCCTTCCCCAGCGATCAACCAGCGGCCTGCCCAAAGTATGCATAAACCCACTTTTCCGGGCTGCCTTCTTACTCCCAACCCTGAGCCAGTGACTGCTGTTCCTCTCGTGGGATCGGACACTCATCACGTAGGCATGACAAATCTCAACACACTCACTGTGTGACTTGTCAGCCCAGCAGGTCCTGCGTCTGTGCAATGGGAATATACTGTAGGCTCTTCTTCTGAAACAGGGAGAATTGGGCACAGGTGGTGAAGAGAACTCTATCGGGTTGTGGCACTGGAGAGGCCAATGCTCCCAGGGCCTGGCTGAACACAGGAAGCTGCCTCTCATAAAGTTAGAACCTTGGCTCATTTAGGGCAGCATAGTCAACTCTGGCTGGCAGCAGCTCTCCAGAAGTACGAGAAGGAGATACTGGGGACTGACCCCAAGACCTTCTGAATGCACAGGAGGAGCACGGTGTCCCCTTCCCCAGAAGCACCTGTGGTGCGATGCACCGGGGAAGCAGCAGGCTGCAGGCCAATAAGGGCAAGAGGGGAGAGAAGATCACGGCCTGCAAAATGGAGCGTGGAACAGGCACAGTGAGCAGGGGAGTTGTTAGCCGTCTCCTATAAATCCAGAATTCAGGCCATCCAGTGGAATGAGTTGAAGGTGTTTCGCACAACCTATAGTTCATTGGTGGAGTCTGCTGTCACAGGGAATAGTCATGAATGCCTAGATGACTGTAAAAGGGGGACTAGACCAATTCCATTACATTTTCCTATTTATTTCCTACTTTTCCTTCCTGAGGAAATAAAAGCCTGAAGTGTCTCAACAAGTGTTGAAATAAAGGCTAATATTTTCCAAAATAGCAAGACACACAGTTCATAAACCTGCTCAATCCTTCTTAAGAGTCCAGGAATAAAACTAGATCATTTCAGCAACAATGTACTATCCAACAGAACCTCAGCATTACACCAAGAAATCCAGAATTCCTTCTCTTCAGCAATTTATACAAAATAACCATCACTAATAAACCTTCTAAAATGCACAGTGCCAAAATTATGTTACGTACCTACAACACAGAAATGTAGGAAGCTGATACAGCATCTGAGCATTGGTCCATCTAACCCTGTTTTAACCACACTGACTGGAAGCAGCTCCATGGGGTTTCAATGGGGCAGCATTTTCCCTTCCCTATTCAAGAGAATGGAGAAATAACTCCATCCCATTGCAAAGGTGAAGCTAGTCCTGAGCTTTGTGGGTTTTGCACTGGGGACCCCGGTTAATAAGGCTTCTCCTGGCAAACCCAGGGCCTTGAATTTCCACTCTGTGTCTTTCAAAACTTCATGGATTATAACAGGAACACACCTTCACCAAGGATCACACGATTCTCTTGCCCATCAACAAGCAGGAGCAAAAGCTGCACTTCCACCTGTTCTGCCATTGACTCTGACTTATTTGGGACAGGGAAAGAAATTTTATCAGCCCTAAATACTGCAGAGCTCGTCACCATTAATGACACAGCTACAGGAGGAAGGGCGGCCAAGACGCTGGCACCCGTAGCTGTGCATCTGGGCTCTCCCAACCTGGTTTGCTCCAGGTGGAGTGGTGGGTTCTCCTGTTGGCCCTTTCCAGAGAAGCGCTGCAGCCCAAACATCCGGAGGACGCTCCAGGAGGCTGCTGTGGATAGTGATATCATGCACTGTTCTCCCCGGGTCCTCCAGAGGCCCTGGCCCACAGCCCCCACCATCCCCAGCCAGGGCAGGCATATTGGCTGGAGGTGTCAGGTGCTGCAGCCCATCAGCATCAAGAGTGCACCAGGGCGGGAAGGCCGTCCAGGACGGCAGGAGCTCGCTAATCAGCTCAGGGGACAGCTCTGCAAAGCAGCCCAACGGGCTGGGAGAAATACATCCCTTCCTTCGAGATTCATTATGCGAAACAGTTCAAGGGAGGGGTTTTCGGGCAGCCCAAATGCGGGTGTGCTGCATGTGCGGCTTGCGTCTCCCCAGGCTGCTGCTGGGAGCGGGCTGCCACCCAGGTCCGAGTTGTGCTGAATCACCGTTCGGGGCAGTGACGGAGCAGGCGTGGGGGGAGAGGGGGCAACCCCTCCAAGCTGCACGGCCCGTCCGCCCGTGCTCAGCCCAAGCCCAGCGCCTTCCTCCTCACCCCCTCGCCACCTCCCCTCCCCCTGAAATGTCATCCACGCCGACACACTTTACTCATTAAAATGCAAACACGCAATTACCAGCCCGGAGGAGTGCCCTGCCGGTGACACACAGAGAATGCTAATCTCCTTATTAAAATTACACTTCATTACAAAAAAAAAAAAAAAAAGGCACTCAGCCTTCCCCAGGCCCCGACCCTCCCCCACTGTCGCTCAGCGCTGACGTGAGGCGGGTTTCAAGCAGGCCTTCGCGCCCCCCCCCCACTCCTGGTTATTAAAAAAGGAAAGGAGGGGGGAGACTGAAATCCCGATTGCCCTCGGATCCCCTCCCACCTCGGCAAGGCCCCCGACACGCACCATTCCGGGCCCTGTGCTCCAGCAGAGAGCTGGAAGCCATTTCGAAAGCAGGAAGGCCAGATTACAAAGTTGCCGCATTAAAGGGGAGTATTCCTCAGAGAGGGGATTTGCGGAATTACCCTGGGCTACCAGGCTCGGGAATCCCTCACGTCTTAATTTTACTTATAACATCCCTGTGTTGCCCAGTATCCAGAGCTCCCTAGGCAGTTCCCAGCAACGGCCCCACTTTTTCCTTTCGGAAGGCACCCAAGGCGGGTCTGTAGTCCTCTCCATCCTATCCTGTGGGGTAGGTGAGTCTGAGAGCCAGTGTCCGGCCCAGCATCCGCTGGGGAGCATCATGGGGATCGGAGCCCAGACCTCCGGAGTCCCAGGCCGACACCAGCGCCACACCGGCCCACCCCACTGCTTCAGGGAAATGCTGCTGTGCTACTTCCTTCTTGTCCAGCTCTTCCAGGGTATTCGTCACAGGAATGTAAGACTGGCGCATACATGCCTTATCTTTATCGCTCAAAGCAGGAAAGTATGCCATGCAAGTACTCATCCAAGCCTGGCCCGGCCCCAAACCTGCTCAGCTTCCACAGGGTGGCTGCATCAGGTGCCTTCATGCACACAAAGAACCGACCAGCAGGGCAGACTCTTTGCCCATCCAGGTGGAGGTTCCCCGTTCTGCCTGGCAGTGGCCCACGGGCCTCAGGCCAAGGCCCCTCCCATCAGGCAGCCTGCGCATGCAAGGCCCATGGTTTGCGACTGGGCTATGACCCCGCCCCCTTGGTTGGCATCAGGATAGCTTTGCTGGCTTCCCATTGACTTCTGGGGCAATTCAAAAGGAGCAAGTCCTGAAGCTGCAGAGCTGTTGAACCACAAGCAGGAGGGCCAGATCCAGCCCGGCCAGGGTTCCAGACTGACCCTCTGGAGAGCCATACCCCCTCTGTCCAACCCCCCAAATTATTTGGTGGCACCCAGCCCCCCCCCCCCCCACCGTATCTAACATTAACTATTCCAATGGACTTCAGAGAGGCATCGACAGAAAAGGGAATAATGGAATAGAAAGCGCTCTCTTGATGACAGACAAGCACTGGTTTTTATAGCATCCCAAGAAGTAAACAGATAAAAGGTGCCTTCTCACCCCCTCCCGAAGTTTGAATTGCATCTTCTAAGTTTGAACAGGTTCTCTCAGGGACTGAGAAAGGCTTGGGTGGGCCATTTCTATTCTTTGCCATCCTCCCAATAGATTAAAGAAATGCCCAAACAGAGTTACAAAACTAGCAGAATTCAAATGTTTACATTTAACAAATCAGTGTAATACTATTTAGCAAGTACTTTTCTAGCTTTTGCTGTGCAAATTCATCCATTATTGTGAAAACAACTGTCTTCTTGCAGTGTAACATTGTATGTTAAACACAGCAAGGCTGTCTAATGCTCTTGTTTCATCATTCAACGGCATGAATACCTGATCTGTGTTAGCACATTGGAGCTGGAAACTGCCTGTATGTTTGAGGCCTGGGCCAACGGGCTACCTGGCACCCCAAGGCACAAGGCTCTGGTTGTAGATGAGGCACCTGGAGGGCTTCACAACAGGGAAGGTTGGTTTAGCCTAATTCAAGCAGATCTCCCACACTGCCCCGTCCTCTGATGCTTACCTTGGGTTGGATCATGGTTCTCCCAGAAAAGTTTCAGAAGGTCCTCATAGGCGATCTTCTGTGGGTCAAACACCACTCTGACTACCTCAGCATGTCCGGTCATCCCTGGAAATTGGAACAGAGGATGCAGAGAGAGAGAGAGAGGGAGAGGGAGAGAGGGAGAGGGGGAGAGAGAGAGAGAGAGGAACAAGGTTATCTGATAAGTCACAAGTTTCCCTTTCTGCCTTGGAATGCATCCAGAGGAAAGCGGGAAAGATTCTGAGGAGGATGGAAGTAAAAGCTGTATAAGCAAAGGCTGAAGGAGTTGCATATGTTTCACCTGAAGGAAAATATTTTCTTCCAGATGGGGCTGAACTTAAATAGTTTGAAATCACACACAGAATGGAGAGGAAGCAACAGACCTCTTTTATAAACTCTACAGACTTCTAAACCCAGCCTATATGATGGGGTGCTGTCATACTTAGGGTGTTGAGTTCAGCCACATTGATTAAAGAGTTTAAAGTATATGAAGCTGCGCGTGGAAGTATTATTTGTGGGGCTAATCAATCCCACATTCTGGGCCACCCATGTTCTGAACTCAGAACAGTGCCCCTCCACTGCGTAAACCAGGCATGGGGAACCCTCTGGCCAGCAGGCCAAATACAGGCCACCAGATTTCCACAGCCAGACCATCAGCTTCTCCGGGCTGGGAAAATATCTTATGTCTAACCTGCTGCTGATTGAAGATAAGAGCTTCTCCCTGCTGAGCACTGAAAACGGCTCCTTGCTTGCTTCTGAGAGTCCTGCAGCGCTTACTTCTGTGGCCTGCCCTGCTTACCTCCGAGCAGAAATGCAGCGGTTTCTTGCTTACTGCTGAGTAGACATGCTCATGATCAAGCATACTTGTATGCTGGAAGGAAACCCCCCTGGGACTTCTTGTTTCTAAGGCATGGGTAGTGAGTGTGGTGTCCATGGGCAACATTGCACTCTGGACATCTTTCTTGGTGGTTGGCAAGGTACTCTACCCTTCCCATTTTCAACAATAAACACATTTTCTTCTTGGCAGCTGGAACTGCCTTGGTGCTGAAAACTGTGGGTCCCAAGGAGTTGCTTAATGAGTTGGGGCTGAGCCCCACGTCTGCCTTTGGGACAGGATAGGATCCCTTCCGCTATCTTCCATGGCAGTGAGCCTCGTATCCTCCATTGCCCAGTGTGTCCATGGTCCAAAAGGGCTGCCTGCCGTTCTCTCGAGGCTGTGGCATCCTTGAGGCGTTGCATTGATATTTGGGCTTCCTTTCTGTCGTCTGCCTTTGACTTTCCCTAGCAGGATCGTCTTCTCCAGGGAGTCTTGCCTTCTCTTGATGTGTCTGAAGCATGACAGTCTCAGTCATTTTTGCTTCTAGGGAAAACTCTGGCTTGGGCCCACTTGCCCACTCTAGATTTAAGGTCACGCGTTCAGCACTAGGCTGAGCATTTGGACCCATCTGTAAAACGGATTCCATATAAGCAGCATATGGATCATGGGGTGCTTTGGGTGGCAAAATGAGGCACAAACCAAGCGCTTTACAAGATATTGATGGATGTACCATAAACAGCCCAAACTGAAGCTGCATGGTGGGCATGTCGTGAGCAGAGCCGGCTGGAGCCGGGGGTCAGGCTAGATGGCCCGGGAGACCCCTTCTGACTCGCTCTGTTTCTATGTTTCTGTGCATCCTCTTCACTGGCCTGAGCGGGTTTTAGTCATGCCATGGATCAGGACAATGTCCTGGCAGCAACCGGAACTGGAGGAGGTGGTTGGACCTGACACATTTCCACAGAAGCAATGGCGGACTCCAACTGAGAGGGAGGCAGGGGGAGCCTCTCTTTCCTCTGTGCCTCCCCGGTGGCTGATTACCCTCCCCAAAGAGGCCTTTCTTTCCCTGGAGGATTTTCCCTTCAGGCCAACCTATCACCCTCACACCACAATGAGGAGGCCACAGGACGTGATGCCTCGATCTGAGGAATCAAGTCCAGCATGCAGGGAAGGGCAGCTGCAGGGTGGAGGGAAACCAGGGCTGAAGGCATGGTCATGAAATTTTGCCCCCCCCCCGCCCCCGCTGGATGTAAACTGTTCAGGTGCCACAAGGTGGGCACATAATTGGCACAATCTACCAGGGTGGGCAGGGCACATGATAGGTTAACCATGGTGACGTTGTTTTTACTGCCATTTCAATTTTGGTGCTTTATATAATTTTAATTTTATTGTTGTTTTATGGGTATTGTAAGCTTCTGAACATTTTAATTCATGTTTTCATTGTTCCAATGTTTAATGCTGCAATATCGGGAACAGGCAGAACCCTAATATTGTTACTACGGGCAGATCCTACAGAAGTTCAGCGAAAGGCACGGGTGCGCGCAACACAGTCACTGCCGTCCCCACAAAAAAATCCTACTGACCAAGCTCAGGGAGGAAACGAAATCACGCACTCCTGCGGCACGGAGAGAGTCGCAGCCGCTGCTCCCGCTCGCCTGGGCTGGTGCCTGCGACTCCCGCGGCCGCCCTCTGCTGCCGCCGAGGGGAACTGCAGGCCTCTTACGGCTGCAGCACCGGCTCGAAGGACGAAGGACGAGCGGGCGAGGACCGGGGCCGGATCCGCCATGGCTAAAGCAAAGCGCCCCCTCCGGTATGTTCTTCGCCTTTTTTGGCCGGGCGGAGGGGGGGGCCTCACAGGGGACAAATCTGCATAAACGTAGCAAGCGTTAATTTCTCTCCATATATGCAAATGTAGGAAGGGTTACTAGGCTATCATCTCAAAACACTTTCCTCCATGAACCTGCACCCTACATAACATCACAGCAAACCAATGGAAAGATATTGTCTAAGCTCAGTTGCTCTGCAGAGAGAGATGTGGAAGTGGGGAAGGGGAGAGTTAACCCTTCCCTCGCCAGCACAGCTGTTAGGCGAAGAAGAAAACCTCCCATGGGTCTCTGTGGTCATTCTGGGCTCTGAGGAGCCGATTCAGGGGATCAGGGTTGAGCATCCGCCTGGGCAGCTGCTAGCTGCCTTCCCCTTACCATTTGTGCAGTAACAAGAGCCACCGATTCCTGATTTTTAGGAGCTGACCCTCTCCACAGGGAGACTGCTTCCTTGCCTGCCTCCCTTCCACTTCGCTCGCCCTCTGCCCCCGAGACCTGGCCTGGGCAGGCAGGCAGACCTGCCTCTCTTTCTCCTAGCTCTTGCCAGTGCAGGCGGGTAGTGAATTAGCCGCAGAAGCAAGGCGGGCCTGGCTGCAGCAGGGATCACTGGGCTGGCCAGCAGCAAGCCCCCCGCCGGGGTGGGGGCCTCGGCTGATGTGTGGGGTGCCCACCCCAGCTGGGGCTGCGGGTCCTTCAGCATGTGCAAAGGCTGCATTGTTGGAAAGGGGGTGCTGGCTTCAAGGAGGGCCGTGCGAGCGTCAAGAGCCCCCAGCTGCGGCAGCCCAGCCGAGCCAGACCCCAGTGCCAGCCCTAACCATCCTCGCAGATGAGGGAAAAACCCCTCAGAGACCCCGTAAGGCCGAGCAGAAAACACCTTGTGTTGCCTGTGACTCACAGTTTCCCAGAAAGCACTGGCTGATTCCACCACCGCAGAATCTACCTTTTGGGTGCCAGTGCTGCAGCTGGACTTGAAGCAGCGGATTTGAATGGCTGCCCCAGCCTGCTCAGAAAGGCCCTTGGGCATCCCCGAAGCCGGCGGACCTTCCCAAATGGGTCTCCCGACCTTGTTTACCTCAGGCTGCCATGGAAAAGCGGGCAGGAGAACAGAACGCTGCACTCACCAAGTCTGATTTGAAAAAGCAAACAAGCACTGCTTTCTAATGCGGTGCCTCTCAGCCCGGCTCGGGAAGGGTTAAACGGAGAGATGGTTATAATTAGATGCATCTCTGCTGCAGTTTTAGCCCAGTGCAGCATGGGGTATGGGGGGGGGGCTGTTACTGTTTCTGTTATCTGCAGCCAACCAACCAAGCAACCGCTGAGAGGAGGCCCGGCCAGCACAAGGACTGCTGCCCCAGATAGCCAAATGCAGCCACCCTTTCTGTGGAAAGAAAAACCTCTGGTTTCCTTGGCAGACGGAGAGACCAGCAGGGCAGGCACGTGGGAACGGAGACTTCCTCATGGATGTGCCAGGAAGTAGGGCAGGGTGGGGGGAAGAAGGGCAGAGGACCAACGCCCCCTTCCCGGGCTGGAGTCCCCGGCTTTGTTCCAGCTGTTTGCATCCTGGATGTCACCGCCCTGGAGAGCAAGATCAGGAGTTTTGGGATGAGGGAATCTCGACAGAATGGCCGCACAGAGGCTCGATTTGGCTCATGGCTTTCAAGCACAGGGGGTGGGGGGTGCACCCCACGGTGCCCCTACAGACCTTTCTGGCACTGCCAGGTGCCCCCTCCACCAGCCTTTCCCCGTCTATAATCAGGAAATTTTGTTACCAACATCTGGGATCACCTGGAAGCAAACTGAGGGCCTCTAGCCCTCCACCCCCTCATAACCAGGGGTGCCCCTTGGCCCCAGATGGGGTTTGGGATGTTCCTATCAAATGAAGATGGTGGGCAGCCGCAGGCCAACCCGTTCCTCTGCAGCACACCTGCCCCCCCCAGAAAAAGAAGAGAGCAAAGGAAAAAGGGGCATTGGACCCTCGAATCAAAGGGGTTTCTTGTGCTGGGTCTCAGCCCCCACTTCTGCAGAGCCAGGCCAAAGACCTGCTGCCACAGGTATCCAAGCTCAGGTATCACCTTCTGAGTCTTTTGGGCAGAGGCCTGTCCTTTGCCTCCCATGGTGGCCACTTCGTAGTGGCATCCACAGCAGTTCCTCAGATGGTCCACTGTGCCCACAAGTTGATTAAGGTTGCCTTCCTCTGGTTTATAGTGATTAAACTGGGTGAAATATGAATAAAATACCATTAGAGGTAACTCCTTGTTTTTAAAAGGAGCTGGGGCTAGGGAGGAGAGCTTTGCAAATATCCTGGACTGACAGAAGGATGAACAGGGGGTCCTGGATGAAATCAATCCCGGTGAAGACCATCATGCTAGGGCAACTGTAAGGCAGGACAAGGAAGACCAAACCAGGGGAGTCTGAGTTCAGCTCGTCAGGGATGTCATGGACGGGGCATGACTTGGCGACACACGACGGCAGGGCTGATCAGCTGTCCCAGCATCATCGTACTTAATGGGCACAGCCTCCTGCCCACAAATTCCCCCCCCCCCCCATTCGCAGACTAAGTTGGGAGGTGAGCAGAAAGGCAATTTTCCAGGGTGGGAAGGTGCAAAAGGGGACGCTGTGCTACCAGTGACCACAGCGTGTCTCACCCCAGAGCCTTGGGAGTTTGTGGCTGCCTTTATACGTGTTTTCTTTTTCCTTTCCAGGATGCCGAGAGTGATGGAGCCAGTCAGAGGGAGGGCATGAAGCTCTCTGCATGACTTTGGGCCATTCCCTGCCTCCGTGGCCTAACCTACCCTACCTGCAGGGCTGTTGTACGAGTGCACTGGAGAGCAGGCGGAGCCTGTGAGCCACCTTGGGTTCCTCGGGAGAGGGAAGGGGACAGGATACAAACATCACGAAATACACGAATAGAGTTCTTGAACCTCTAAACCAAGAGAGGGCAGGAGAGAGAGCTCTGGGTGGCTTGTTCTAGATCAGCAAGGATTTCTCACTCCCCATTGTAATAGACAACACACACCTCCCAAACATGCATCTGTATTTGTAATGTGGATCTGAAGAAAGCTTGGGGTAATGAGGAGTGGACCTTGATGTGGAAGGACAGTGAGCTCCATTCTGTTCTGCTACTCAAACAATTCCTGCCCTCGGGGTTCTTTCATTTCCCATGTACATCTTGTGAACCAGGCTCCAGCTGGGGGATCTCTCAGGGCTAGACTGAGTTAAACAAACAAAGCTTTTTGTCTCCCCACAAAGCTGAGGTCTGCCCACCCCCATCCTAAGCAGCCTGGGAAGATGTTACACGAAGGCAGTAGCCCCGGCAGTGCAGCTTGAGCAGCCAGCAGCGAAGTCCATCAGGTTCACAGGCACCGGGCACGGGGCCATCTCTGTGGCTGCCCCATCCTGCCACAAGGCTCTTGCTTTGTCAGCTGCCCGCTCCCAAATTTTAAATGGGACTGAAAGACTCAAATGCTTCAGGCAGCTTTCAATGGATGGAGCATATTTTTAGCCTGCAGGCTCTTAAACGTTTCTGAAGCACAGTTTTCAGTTTGTGTTGAAGAGGTGTTTTAATGCTCCTGTATTAGATGGTGGAGCCTGCATTCCTATACACATTTACTTGGAAGGATGTTTCAATGAACTCAATGGAATTCACTGCTGAAGTTTCCATTGCATGCACACACCTAAAGGACCACCTTCACCTGTATTTACCTGCCCACCCATTAAGATCTGGGCAGGAGGACCTTCTAAAAGAGCCATCCATCAAGGAGGTGACGGATGGAAAAAAGAAGCAGGACCTTCTTGGTGTCTGCCCCCCATTTATGGAAAAAGCTCCCAAGAGAAATTCACCTGGCACCAACATTGCTCTTTTTGGTGCCAGGTGAAAACATTTTTCTCCTCCAGGTATTGTAATAACTGATTTTAAATTGCTTTTAATATGTTGCTGTATATGGTTGTCCCTTCACTTGACAGAGTTTGAAATAATTTAACAATTGTTAAATTGTTGTTTTATATATCATTGGTTTTATTGTTTTAATACTTGTAATTTTGCTTCCTCATGATGAGTCACTTAGAGATTCCTGTTGGAATAGTTTGACAGCATAAAATGCAAAAAGAAAATAAATAAAGATATGGCATCACATTGCTTCTTTTTTCTTTTTCTTTTTTTACCACCTTGGGAAGGCTTTGCATTTAAGGCAGCATTTAGGTTTTTCAAACAAACTATATTAACCATATCAAACATACCACGTTATGCTGGAATAGGGTGGGTGTAACTGTACTCAAAATCTGAATGCATATTATCACCCCCTCCAACCTAAAGATGTGAAGGCAGGGCAAGAGACAGAAAAAAGATGGGGAAGACCTTTTGACCCTGAGTATTTGACACCAAATGCTGATTTGCACCCCTAGTCCTAGTGCAGGGTTCTTGAACCTCAGCCCGGCAGACCCAATGCAACTCACCTGGGGTGCTAACCTAACCGAAGGAAAAAAATGTATTTCCAGGAATTTTTAGAAAATGGAGCGGGGAGGCATTTTCCCCTAACCCTCACACCTCCAGTAGCTTTGGATTTCAGATCCCACCATTCCTAAGCACTGGCTCTGCTGTCTCAGGGCTGATGGGTATCGGAGTACAAAACGTCTGTGGAGCACTGGATTAGAAGCTGAAGAATGCCCTCGTGGCCCTGAAAATGCAGGCAGCCAGGCAGTGCCTGAGGCAGCTCCTGGGCTTTCTTCCGAGGAGCCCATCCCGAGTGTGGGAGTGGGTGCTCCGTGCCTCCCCTGCTGCATTGTGTTAATACCCAGAATGCAGACAACACACACGGATAATATTTCTTGCAGACAGATAATCCCCTCCACCCACACTCAAAATGTTTTTACAGATAAGCTGCAAAACCGTCTGTTCCGATTCCTGACAGATCCAGGTTGAGGACAGAGGATTAACGCCATCAATAAACGCATGAGCATGTGCTGAAGGAAATGGAGCAGCATGTGCTGCGCCAGTGAAGGCGGTGCTGCCCCTCCATAGCAGAGGGGCTCTTCGCACCCTCCTGCAGCTGCGGGTGCTTCTCACGGGGGGTCTTTGGTGAGGACCCCAGAAGCTGCAGCCGGGGTGGAGCAACTCCCGGGGGTTGATCTTTGCATTCTGGAAGGGGGCTGCCTGCTCTTTTCCATGAAGCACAGCCTTTGCCAGCTGCAGTTGCCCTCATGCTACGTTTCCTATCATCCACAGCAGCAAGTCAGGCAGCTGTGGATAAAAGGCATTTTTAGACCACTAACCTCCTGGGGCTACAAGCTTGGAAAAGACTCCCATGGAATCTTAGTAGCCATTTTGAAGGTTACTCCATACACCGAACTAACTCCCTGATTATTTTAAAGTGTAGCACATTAGATTTCTAGCCCAACTTTCCTTCCTGGATGCACTTCCGACATTTCTTGGCAGGAGGAGGGAGAGAATTCAAAAGTGGCACTAATGGCAGTTTCCACCCTTTGTAGGAATAGCAGCTTGTGGGGAGATCATCTTTGGGTCTGGAGTTCGGGGAAAAGGATTCATCTCCCTCTTTGCTGTGATCTCTGATCACAATCCTGATAGAGTCCACACACACACACACACACACACACACACACACACACACACACAGACACTTGTGGCTCCTTTTTTAAAAGCACAAACACCCAGATACATGGTGCACAATTCCACCTCTTCTCTCCCTAAGGATTTGATCCAAATGCTGCACCCCTCATGCAGGGATGCTTACCCTCAAGCAAGCAGACCAAGTTCAGCCCACTTGGAGTGTTACTCCAGCCCTCTGGGGTCCCCCAGTCAGCCCTGCACCCTTCCTCAGCCCCTCTTCCCTCCTCCCAACCCCTAGGCATGCGATGCTTTCCAGACTTTTGCGTCTCTCTCCCCTGCTACTCTAAAAGGTTGAAATGGGTCTCCTGTGACTTAGTTCCTGGCAGCAAGAGGTTTGAGATCAAATTGCTGGCATGTCAGGTACTTTTGCCCTTCCTGCCACTGGAATGCAGCCACTGAGAACTTCTCCAAGAGTCAAAGGCTCAGCACCCTTGGCCTAGAGAAAATTGAACTGCAAAAGCAATTTAAAAAATCGGATGCCACCTTTGCAGCTGCCTGAGCTCAGCACTAGACAATTCCAAATTATTTAATTGGATTCTATGAAAAAGAAATAAAGACAGAGAGAGGTCCATGCAACACACTGGGAAATACCCACATGCAAATCCCCCCATGGTGTGACATTCGCTCACAGATAACAGAAGAATGCAACTTAGTTCAGAAGCCACTCTCGGGAGAAGAGCGATCGCTTACCTGTGCAGACACCTTCATAGGTGGGACTGGCAGTGTTGCCTCCAGAGAAGCCCACCTGGGTGGAAAAGACCCCTGGAATGTTCCAGAACAGTTGTTCTGCTCCCCAGAAGCATCCCATGCCTGGGAAAGAAAAAAGAACCTTACATTAAGAATTAGGTTACTCAGGGATGACTCCTAAATTGCTCTGGGGGAGCGATGATTGCTCCCCAGTATGGGAAAAACTCCCCTGGCTCTGTCAGGAGCTGAAGCAGATCCAAAGCCACAGACTTTCTCCTTGCAAAGCATTCTCTAACGACCAACAGCACAAAGCACCCAGAGCATGCACAGAGCGGTTTGTTGAATCCAATCGAGTATTCACCTCCAGGAATGTTCCTTGTGAGCATAGCTGGGGCCCTTCTCTTTGGGAAGGGTCTTCTGAAAATGGGCACGCCTCCTTGCTGCATGCGGATCCTCTAACTGGGCCACCCTGCGCTGCTGGTGACACGCATGGGGTCAAGAGCCAGGGCCGCCTCGTCTGTGCCAGAGAACGCCCCTGCTCCAGCTCTCCTCCTGCCAACCGTGCAGTTCAGCTGTTCCCAGAGACTGCCTGCCCATCCTGGGAGCCTGGCCTTAAGCCGAGCATCTCTGCTTCTCTCCTCTTGGTCTCTGCTTCTCTCATCAAAGTGCCACATTCCCAGGCCTCCTCCTGCTCCTCTCCCCCTTCTCCTTCTGAGGCGAAACCGGCCCACGTGTGCTGCCGAATGCAGTGGAAGGCAGGGATCTGGCCCCAGTGGGTGGCACAAGAGGGGCTCCCATAAACGCCAGAGGTGACCCAGCCCTGGTTGGCACACGTTCCTCCATGCTTTCTGTTCTCGTGCCGCCCAACTGGTGGCGCTCTCTAGGGGGCTCAAGGCCTTCTTTAATCTGTGCACAGCAAAGAGCTAAGCAAGAAAGGGAGGGGGATTTAGAAATGGGCCTTGTTGCTTCTGGGTGGGTGGGGTGTTTGCTTAGGAAAAGAAAGAATCCCAAGTGGTTCAGATAAATGCTTGACTGAGCGGGAAGGTTAACTAAGAGCAACTCAGGTTTCCTAAGGCGCTTGCAGGTAGGGCAGGAGCTCAGCCTGCAGCAGGAAGAGCGGCTGTGGCCGCTGGCCAGCGCCACGAGGACCCATCCGAGGAACGCTGTTTCCCTGGGCAGAAGCCCCTTGCACAGAGTGGCTGGAAATTCAAACTCCGATGTAAGTCAATGTGTTGGCGTCACCAATGGAGAGAAAAGGCCCCAGATGGGCCTTCCCTGATGGCTTGGAAGAATGGTGGATAAGCCCCTCTTGTATCTGGGGTTTTTAAATGGGATTGCCTTCATTTTCTATAGCCTGACCTGATCCGACCAGCAACCTGCAGGTGTGCCCTGCATGTAGCTTGTAAAGGGATAAGTCATGGGGGGGGGGTGTAAAGGGATAAGTCATGGGGGCGTGTTGAAAGACACACACGCGCGCGCAGAGAGAGAGAGAGAGCGCGAGTGAGTGAGCAAAGGAAGGAGTGACCGTGTGCCATGTTAAGGGGCGAGCTGTGGGGTCTCTGCGTGCATGTGCTATGGGAGAAAGAGACAAGGAGAACCCTGGTGAGGCAGAATGTTGGTGCCTGCATATAATACCCCTGCCGTGTCTTTCGGTCAGAGATGTGTTGCAGATGGATGGGTACTACTGGCAACCTTTGATTTATTGGAGCAGCCTCACTGTTTATAGTTCTCCTGCCCATGGAAGCTTTTCCTGGGGCCATCACTCTGAAAAATGGACTCCCAGAGAGCTTCAAAGGCCCAGTCAGCTCTGCACCTGGAACGGGGTACTCTCAGTTGGCTCACAGGGGAAAGGCATCATCCCAGGCATTACCCATAGATGTACAATGAAGACGATCCCATTTTGAAAAATCCCGAATACAAGACTCATATCCAAGATCCCATATCCATGACTCCTCCCAGCCACCAGGGTAGGCCCATCAAGAACTGTTTTCCATCCATCTCAAGAAAATTGCCTACTCTTCTAAGGTAAGAGTCCAGGACAGTCGGTCATGCAAGACAAGGAAACTGGAATTAGATTCAAAGCTGGCAACGTAGCAAGAACAACTCAAAGTAACAACAAATCACGCACCAAATATTGCCATCTGCATTCCTTCTGGGAACGGTGGATGCATTGGGTTTTTCTCGACAACGTGCTTGGCTAAAGAAGCGGGTGGGGGAGGGGGGAGAGAGAAACATGTAAATCCTTTGCTGAATCCTGTATAAATCCAGGATTTGTCTAAATCCCAAAGTTCAAATATCACATTCTCCTAACCAGACATTTGGGTTAGGCATGCCATGGAATTTCAGAGAGAGGGAAATAGAGATGTAGAAATCCTTTGCCAAGCCCCCTGGAGTTCAAAGATCACCTTCTCCTAACTAGACACTTGGGTCACGCATGCCATGGAGACTCAGAGCAGATTACGTGGCCACTGGAAGCTTGTGTTGGAGACACCAGAGCGGGAGACTAGTAGGCAGGACGGATTCTCGGGCTGGAGGGCATTTCAAGTTAAATAAATGCCCCTAAAGCAGGACTATTGCTAAAAAATACTGTGCTGAGAGGTGTTTGGGCATGCATGTGTGTCTGTGTGTATTTTGTGTCTATGTCGCAACACAGAGCCTCAAGCCTGAAGTTCTAAGTCCCTGTTCAGCCAAGGAGGGAGGGAACAAGGTGTCTGTGTGTGAACAGAACAAGAGCTCAGCTTTGAGGCAGAGCCTAAGGAAGATACAGGCACAGGGAGCTAAGGCTGGGCTCTGTTAGTATTGCAGGGTATGGATTCTTCCTCTGGAGGATGTGGGAGCAACAGAGCTTGCAGGGAGTGTTTAAGCCAGCCTTCCCGACCTTGGACAAGACACATGCCTTTTCCCCTCTTCAAGCATCCTCTCCTACCCACCTCTCTCTTTTCTCCATCCTCCATGCACAGCAGGTTGAGGACCAAGCCCTACTTTCACAAACACATCCCCTGTTGCATCCCAGTGTGTGTTTTCAGCAACAAAGGCAGACAGGGGTGCTCTGATCACAGGAATATCAAACAAGTCAGATTGCACACGGGCTAGTTCAGCACTTCAGGGTCATCGGTCCCGAGACCTGGACAAGTGCAATCGTAACTTACAGCTGTGAACAGGACAGCAGCTGGCACCCTGCAGATCCTTTGGACTACAATTCCCAGCAGTCCCAGGCAGCATGGCCAAAGGTCAGGAATGCTGCCAGGTGTTTGCTCAAGACATCTTAAAGACATCAGAAACCTGGACTAGGCCAAAGGAACACTCAGTACAGACCTGGGAGATCTGTAGCTTTATAATCTATTGTGTCGCTTGAGCTCACACCTGGAACACTCACACCTAAAGCTGGAAATGCCAGCGGGTCTGCAAAATCCACTTTTCAAGATAGTGTTTCCACCAATCCTAAACTGTTGGTAGGTTCATGCTTATTCTCTAAGCATCCCAAAGTAGGGGAAAACTTCTAGAAACCAGATGCATAGATTCTACCATAAGAAATATTCAAAGTTGCAAAATTGATTCAGTTTCACTTAACGTGTGTTGCTGGCGCAATTCGAGTTCTCAACAACATGGCTCAGATTTTTGTTTTGGGGTACTGTTTAATGAAGGAAAGAAGCTATAGAAGATTGGTGAAAAAGCCCAGTGAAGGCAAGGATCTTGGGAGCAACCCCTTGGGCTCTGCAAAGAGGAGCTGATTTCGCACAGCTGTCTGATATGTGCATGCCTTGTCTTGTCAATTTCCTTGTATGAATCAGCTGCCAAAGGGATCAAGGAGGTAAAACACCAGGAAACTGACAAGTCTGATTGTAGGTGAATTTGTGCAAAGTTGCCAGGGACCAGTTTCCTGGCTGACAGTTAAAAAGCACCAATAAAGGAGAAAAACAGGTTTTTGGAGGGCAATGCCTCCACCTTGGCAATGTGAACCGCTGGCTTTTAAATGCTAAACTGATGCTCCCCAGGGCCCTCCAGCTTTTCAGTGCTTCCCTGATTCTCCAGCTACACCAAAAAGGGGAGGCATTAACTGCAAAACATCCACAAATTTAATGGTTGGGAAATAACTGGAGAAGAAATTTGCCCACTTGTAGCGACTGCAAGGTCAAAACCTTTTTATTTAACTGTTATTTTAAAAGTTAGTATTTTAATGTACAGTCGCTTCTTACTTAATTTATTTTTATTCACTATATGTTGTTTATTATTGTTAGAGATTGTTTTAGTGTATTTGATTTTAATGATTGTAAGCCTACCTGAGATGCCATGCATAAGGGACAGCATATAAAAGTTTTAAGTTAATAAATTACTTGTAAATAAATAAAGTAAATAAATTATGCCGGTGCAAACATTTCTCCTCCATATACAGCTCTGCCATTAAACTGGTGCAAGTGCCTCCTCTGTTTTCTTTGCAGCTTTTAAATATGCACGTAATTTCCAGTCTGGATTTTTTGCAAATATTCTTGCCAGTTTAAAACATGCAAGCACATGTGACAGCACAGGAGAGAGCCAATGGGGTGCTCGCATCCAGTTCCCCTTCATGCGCCCCACTCATTCTGGCCCATTTAGTGAAGTGGTGGTTGTGCTTGCTGGTTTTTAAAACAGGGTTGCGACTTCTTTTTATTGAGCTGCAGGGGGGAAGCCAGTGGGACAGGGGAACCAAGACCTGGAACAAATAAGACCCTGAATGAGAGCAGACGATCACACGCCAGAAGCCCAAGCCTGTGTATTCCCGGGACCGGATGCTGCCGGAAAGCTGCCACACAGCTGACCTAAGCCAGGAAGACAGCCGCTGCCTGCTAATCTGCCCCCACAGACAAATGCCAGCGTCTCTGATGGATGCGCACCATGGTTATACAACCTCCCTAGTCTCATGGATTAAGGCTATGAAAAAGCCCTTATCTGACTCCTCTCCAGTCATTCCCACCCCCGCCAACCTCCCTCCAACCATCCTTCCTCAGCAGGGCTCTATTTTCAGTTTTTTTTCCAATGCCGTGTGCCCAGAGGACAAGACAGCATAGAACAGCCTGTGCTTATTCCGAGATGAGCCTTCTCCCCTCCAACCCCAACAGATGGAACAGACTAAGTCTAGATGGCCTGGGACAGATCGGGACTGCTTTGGCTTGCGTGTTGCCTTCAGGGCCTCTGGAGGTGAATGCAGGCGGAAGCGAGGGAGGGAGGGAGGGAGGGAGGAAGCACACAAACCTCCTCAAGATTAGCCCCTGTGCTAAATGGGCTAAATGCGGAGGTAGTCTAGAGGAAACAAATCAAAGGGAGGTTTTTGCCCACCAGATTTCCTTGAAAGGTTGCAGAACTTTTGCTGGTGTTTTAATGCATGCAGCCAGAGTGAACAAGCCTTGGTTTTGCATTCACACAAATACACACAACACTTAGAAAGGAAAGCTTATTCTGCAGGAAATATAGAGCAGGCACAAGCGTTTAACCTGATGTTTTGACATCAAATATTCCTGTTGCATCCCAGTCTTACTCTATATTACTGAAGAGATAAAGCACTTTCTGCCTGAGAGAGAGAGAGAGAGAGAGAGAGAGAGAGAGAGAGAGAGAGAGAGAGAACTGGCCTCCACTTATGTTCTGTTCAGAGCCTGATGCTCCTCTTCATGCTTTGCTCAGAGCATGGAGCAAAGTGTCTGATCCTTCTATTTCTCTTTGAACATGTGTCTATGGGAGGCGTTTCCTAGGCTTCTGCTAACCATGGGAAGGGTGCTTGGTTTCTTGATGATGGGGACTACTGTTTCTCCAGGCAGGAGGGGAGTGCTTTTGGCTGTGTTTGCCAAAGGTCTTCTGATCCTCCATCTAACCTTTGCTGTGTTCTTGCACCAGCTTTTTCTGGCTGAGTTGGTTCCGCCTCCTCTCTGGATGCTGCATCTGCTGCTGTTCCAGTGTCCTCTACAGTGGTGTGCGACCCACAGGCCCCCCACAGGCCCCAGGAATGGTTTATGCAGCCCCTGTGCTTCCCCTCTGCAGTGGCAAAATTAAATCCCCCACTGCTTGGGCCCCAGTGCTTATGAACCACTAATGCTGGTACGCGACCAACTTCTCCACCATTTCCAGTCATTGTTTGAAGAAAACTAAGGGACCAAAGTATGCTGCTGGGCCTTGTGGACAAACACATTTCTGTGTATAAAAAGATTCCATACTTTTAAAACATTCCTGGCAAAAGAGATAAGTGAACAAGCAACAAACACAAATCTAGATATTCTAAGAAAACTGACAGAAGGGACACTTGTTCCACTGCACAGTTTCTCAATTTCTGCAATAATCTTTCAAGGAAGGAAGATAAAATACTTTTGTGGTGGTTTCCATTCATCTTTTAAAGAAAACTGAACAATAATTTTGATACGTTAACACAAAGGAAAACAAACAGCAATTGGATAAATTAGCACGATCTGAAGAATTCTTAGAACCATGTATCAGATAAGAAACGGCATACTTAAATATGCACGTTTGCCGTTTTAAAAGAGTTTTTCCTAATGTCGACCCAGGGGACCAGAAAGACAGTGGGAGGGTGATCTCCATGCAGCCTTCATACAGGGCAATCTATCCTTCCTTGAGTCAACTTTCTATTCCTTTGTAGTTGTGAAGATTTTCCGTGCTTGGAGGTAGAGCTTCATTTTCCCAAGTAATGTTTGGCCTTTCTCTGCAACTATTGAAATCAGAACAGAGGATGCAAACTAAAAAGAAAGACAGACAAAAGGCAAATTTTGTGCTGACACCGCTCTTTCCATTCTATTCCGCCTTTCAACAAGGTTGTTCAGCCTCATCGTATTGATTCTTGGGATGCGAACTGTCTGCCCAGCGCCTGTTCTTCCTCAGTCCTGAAGAGGTTAGGTCAATCATGACTGCCCAGTCTTACCTACCTCGTGAGGTTGTTGCGAGGATAAAATGGGGAGGGAACCATGTACGCAGCCCTGATCTCCTTGGAAAAACAAACATAAATACTGCTAGCATGGAGGAGACGGCTCCTAAACAAAAACTCCCTATGCATTGAATGGAGCAAGCAAGACCTGGGCAGATGAGGCTATGAGGACCTTGCGAGGGGTTGTCTGGAGACTCCTGAACTACAGCTTTCCATTCTGGGTGATACTGTCCCACATGAACGGCTGTCAAAAGTGCA